CCTTCCCTGACACAGCTTCACACCATTGCCTTAGAGAGAAGAGATCAGGTCCTGCGCCTCTGCTTCCCCTCATGTGGAATCTGTAGACCACTATGAGGTCTTCCCTCAGTCTGCTCTTCTTCAGGCTGAACAAGCCTAGAGTTGTCTTGCGTATCCCTGGATCCTGTGTAAGAGAGCAGTATGCTTCCTAGTCCCCTGGGTCACTCAGTGCTGCTCCTATATAGCCTTCATCTGCATCTCTGCATGAGCAAACTTGAACAGGCAGCCTAAAGCAAACCCAGAAAAAGCACTCGAAGTTGGCACAGAATGAATTATTTACAAGCTTCCTACCAAGAAAAGATATGGCACATCAGTATTTTGCCAAAGTGCAGAGTTTGAGAGCACCTTAGAGGCAGAAACCCTGCTGGAAAAACATCTAGACTGCGCTTCTGTCTAGGTGGCTTTTTCCCCCAGTGATGTTGATTGGCAACATCTGAATTTGTTGTAATCTGCTGCTGTTTGAGTTTTTCTCAGAACAGTTTGGTTAATATCTGATTGTTTTGGTTTGGGGTTTTTCTTCTTTACCTATGTTTTTGTGATGGCTGCATTAATGGGGAGTGGTGATTGTAAAGCACTAATATTCCCACTGACAGGTGTTGTCCTTTCTGAATTTAAAAAGAAAATCAATCAGTGGTTATTGATTTGAGAGAGTGTCCTGGAAGATATTAAATACTACAGTCTTTCTGTGAACCCATAAATCATGATTATTGTTTTAAAAGGCTATACATTTTAAGTACTTTGTCAGCAAGCCCTGCTGGTGCTATTTGGATAATACAATATGTATCTAAAGGCTTTGTTGAATCCATATAGTGTGGAAACAATTAGATATGTGGTTACACATCCGTGTGGCTTGAATAATCATGCCATGCCCCTTTGCAAAGTTAGGAGGAAGAAAATAAACAGGGTAAGCAATTCTGAAGGTAATTAATTACTTACAGAAAATGAGATGAGCTTTAAAGAATTCTCTTTCCAATTGCAGTAATTAAGAACAAATCTCAGAAAGCAGGCCGTGACTTCCCTGGGTGAGATGAGGGGAAAGGGATGATGATTCGCCTCTGGCTGAAATGTCCAGCCGTTGGTTGCCCCAAGCACTAGGCTTGGGCATCACACAGGGCCAGGGAAAGTTTGGCCTCTTTTATCTGAATAAAATTTTCCGATCTACCAGGTGAAGTTAAAAATGGCTTTCAATAGATATAAAACTATCCTTATACCAAGAGGTAGGACCCCAACCTTTACATACCTCCAAGGCATGTAAAGCCAGGAGTTTCTCCTGCAAATGAAGCTATGGCAGGCCCACTGACCCCAGAGATGGTTGCAGATGTCTTCGGGGGACTAGCCACCTGCTGTCAAAGATGGTGCGGGAGCCAGAAGATGAGCCGTGGAAATGATGACTTGGAAAGCTGTGTGATGTACACCAGCAGCCCAAGGAGGGAGATTAGGAAGCCATTTGGCTTCATGCCATCAGGGTGGTAACTTTGTCATGAAACGGAAAGGCAAAATCCTTTAAGCACTCTTTTATTGCTTGCTATTGATTTTTCTCACTATGAAGATGCTCCTTCACTAATTAACGATGAACCCATTTGCTTTATGAGGAGAGTCCTGGACTTCCCAACTCCTTGCTGTAGATTTTCAGCAGGTCGATAAATCAATCTGTTCTAATCCTTGAAATTAAAAAAATAAAATAAAAGAAAACAAAATCACTGCCTTGTATCAGCAAGGTACTGGGAGACAAAGTAGCACACTTCGTGTTTCCCTCCTGCTTGCCTGCAGAAGTATCTGTCTCTCTGCTTTATTTGCACTGTGTTAACATTAATTCCATAGGTCTTTCTGAATGCTTTCAAGGAGGCACATCATCCATCTATTTTTATTTCGGTTTCAACTAAAGGTCCACTGTACTCACTTTGGGATTTTTGCTTGCTAGTCAGACAGTTGTGTTGAGGCCCAAGTTCTGAGTCAATGTGGTTACTGAGCATTTTCCTGCTATCTTAGAGATGGGAAAATACTTTTGAGTGATAAATTTAAGTTAGGCAAAGTTAAACCGTAAAGGGTTGAATAAAACGATAAATTTTATGTAGGGCTTTATTAAAGGCTAGGTTTACTCAAAATATGGCTCTTTTCAAAATGTAAGACCAGACATTATTCTTTTTAAATGATAACATTTTGATAACAGGCTTTCTCTGTTCAGCAGCATTTTAGGACCAATTAGTTTGTGAAGGTAAATTCTTGCCTTACTTTTCCTGCTGCAAAAGGATGAAAGCTTGATTCTAGGATGTTGATTCCAGGATACATCTCCAGGATACTGCTAATTTACATACATGGAAGTCATTTGCACTATGTAGTATAAGTTGCAGGTTGTCTTTGCCTCTTGGCTGTCAGTGTAATTGGCAATTCAGTGCCTTGTGACAAAGGGTATCTGTTGGGGTTTTAAAAGGACAGGCAGTGCAAAAGGGATTTCTGAGTTTAGGATGCATAGTGTTTTGAAATTATTTAAGGATCTAAACAAGGATAAGAATAGCTAATTTTAGCAACTTTAAAAAACCCTGAACTATTGGTCTGGAAATACTGCAGGAATATAGAAGGTAATATGAATTCTCATCATTGAAGGAGAAAGTACTCTGGGAAATTTAAAGACATCTAACTTAAATAAGATTTTGGAAGACTTTTACATGATGTGTAATTAACCTTAAGAAGTCTTTGCCCCAAGGTAAAGTCAGGGCTTTTTTTGAGATTAGAAAATGAATTAGATATTTATACAGATTGGAAGACTGTCCGCTATCCATCATCTGGGCTGCAAAGAAACACAAGGGAGGTGAGGTAAGATTTTGCAGGTTAAATGAATAATGCAACCACTAAAGAGCAGCTTTTTATCTTCAAGTATTTGCAAGTGAAACCCCCACCTAAGCCATCATTCAGGTTTCCTCTATAGTCAGTAGTAAAATATATTTCTTCAGGGAATGGCCAAGCCTCACCTACCTTAAATACCTGTTCTTCAAGGGGTTACATTGGTTTTGGGGGATAGCAGTCTTCCGTTAACTATGGACATAGTTTAAATTCAATGGACTATATCCCTTACTGCTAGGTATTGGACAAATTTATCCAAATCTGGAGAAAACACTTTATATGTAGCATCTCAAGCTGTGCTAGGCTAAGTTTTCCAATGTTTTCTGCTTCAACCATTACTTGCTTTTACCACTAGAGAATATAATCTCAGTTTTCCAGTTAGCGTCTCCATTTTTGTGGGAACTGAGACTCTTCTAAGGCTTTTCTTTTGTCTAAGTGATGTTTTTTTATGTATTGCAGATAATGACACTATTACTGCAGCACTGATGGGTTTCACAGACTTTACCAGGGTGGAAAAAAACGTTCTGGAGTAATTTTTGTCAGAAATTGTTGCTTACACAAGTGTTAAGATTCTTGCAACATTTGAGTCAGTAAAATGAAAAGGATTGTATTTCATGAGAGATATAACAGACTAAGTTCTACAGGCCCTATGTGTAGAGAATTAAACTGTTTGGGAGTTAGGCATCTTTGAAAAATCTCACTTCTTTTGGTACATGGATGCTTTGGGCAGTGGATCCTAGGCATATCCACGTTGGAAATGGGGTAAAAACTGCCAAAGTCTTTTTGATAGTTTTCTCCTGAGCTGCTTTGAAGTGTTAGCCTCAAGCTCAAAGGGAATCAGAGTTTACCAATTTCTTATTTTGTCTGTACAAAGATGAAATGGAACCTTCAGATGCCTTGAAGAAAGGCTATTATAGATCGCTGAAAAACTTTATGAAATTCTAGATAGCAGCAACGGCATAAAAAAATTTCCTGATTCTCTATTTTTAAAATCTATCAGTGGCGACTTTTCAATATAAAGTCTTTACCATAAAGCCTGAACACTTGTGAACTTGTAATAGAAATCCACGCCCTGCTCCTACCCATATTGCTGGGCTGACAGCTCCAGATTGTCTCAGGTGTTTTTTTCATTTAATTGCATCATGGGAGAGCTGCAGATTGTCAGTATTGACTGAAGGAGGTCTCAGCATGGTGTACTGGCCCTGGCTACGTTGACAGGAGTAATGAAGTGAACATACTGAGCCAGCCTCCATCTCTGAGACCCGTGGTGGTTTGTTCAAGGGATCACAGGTTCAAAAACTCCATGTCCATGGGGAAGAGGAGGCCTGGGAGGAGACCTGCTCTCCCCACTTGTTGCACGTCACCCACCTTGCAGGCAGACTTACGCACACAGCCTGTCCCAGAAGGTCAGAGAGACCTCAGAAAAATGACTGTTACTAATCTTGTGTCCCCAGAGTAGTAGAAGCTCATTCTAAATGATCCATTTTGACTTCTTCATTACTGTAGCAGGCTGCTTTGCAGTCTTGCCTAGCAGAGGCCTTTCACAATCCTTCCCCATGAAATGGGAGTAAACAGGTCAATGCTTTCTGTCATGCAGGGCTTTAGAAGATCCTCATGCCATTACCTCAAAAATGCTGCAGTCTGACTCATAATGTGCCAACTTGGGAATTCCACAATGAAAAAATAAACGGCAATAAACGATTCCTGTAATATGCTACAGCTGCACAGGTAGAGAGTGCAGAAGGCATGGTGAAGTTTTGCCACTTGAACTCATGGAAGCTTTCTGTGGTGGCTGTGCTGGGGTTTCAAAACTTGTTTTCTCCGGAGACAGCCATGATTTTTAAAAGAGCTTTCAAAGTCAGTTGGCAGCAGCATGATGGAAGCCAGGAGGGGTAGCTGCAGCTCACAGCTAACGATGCCCACTTCTGTGCATGAAGCCAGTTTCCTCGGTCATGTTTCGGCTCCAGGCTGGCTGGTGTGTTCCAAACACACCTGTTGCCAGTCCACCTTTGGTTTTGGTGATGGCTGGTGGGAGAAGGGAGGGGAATTAGCAGTAAACTATATTCTCTATGTCATTTCTAATGTTAATGTTCTTGTCTTTATGTCTACGCATTCTTTAGCTATGAGGATAACAGACCCTTCATCAAGTAAGAATGACCTGAATGGCTGATAAATTTCATTTATCAGTGTGGTCTCATGAACCAGCTGTCAGATCAATACTGAAAAATCATTAAAGCTTCTGTCATTTGCTTTTGAGGCAGAAGAGCAAACTGTGCAGGAAAATGGTCAAGCATACAGCTAAGGTGCAGAGTAAATGTGCTGCATATGTATTGCCAACCAATTGTCACCTTATTTGCTTTATATTCTTTAATTGGGCATTACTTGAATTTGAGGTGAAGGTTCCCAAGTTAATCCTGTGTAGTACAGACTTGTTATACCAATTTCAGCCCTCTGGTCCACTGTGCTCTGTCACTGGGAGTGCTTTATGGTAATATAAATACTGAAGCAAATTTTCAGAAAGGTGCATGGGTGCTATTCCCCATGATTCCCTTTTTAATGGGAGCAGTGCAAGCAAATCTGTGTGCATTGGTGCCTTGGGGACTGTCTTCTTACTCATTGGAGTGCCTAATTGTCCCTAATTGTAAATCACTGATTTTCAATTACACCAAAACATGGATGTTTTTGTTTCTTTATTGCTATAAAATTGCACTACAGGAAAGAAAAACTGTGAAAAAGCAACAGCAAGTCTGTACAAAAGGCAAGACAAAACCCATAAGCTGCATCCAAAAGAAAAACCTGTGAAGAAATCAAAAAATGCTTAGAAATTACATATCTTAGGGCATCCGTGCTCTTTCTCCTGCAACCAAAAAGTAATGAGCAGTAGCACAAAATGGAATTAAATCAACTTTGCAGTAGACTTTCAGTTTGTTCTTCTGGTGAAGAGTCCTTTCTGTTCATTCTTTCAGCACCATTTCCATGTTCTCTTTCATTGCTTGGTTCTGTTTTTATCTGCGGATAGGGATGGAGCTATTCATAGTAATCTCCACGCCCTCTTTATCTCCAGGTCTTGTTTTCTGAAGCACAACACTGTAATGCATGCAGTTTGCACTGTTGGGGGTCTTCAAACCCCCAGATTCCTTTCCATCACTGAAGGTAGCATATTTCCACTAAACAACTGTTTCATTCTTGCACACCTCTGCAGCTCTTTAATCAGGTTCTACAACTGGCTGTGCTTCAGAGCAGAATAGTTTTCTGATGTCCAGGGAACCATTTTTAAAAGACTCTGTAAGTGCAGGAAGCTTTTAGTTGTGGAGGAGAAGAGAAGAGGGATAAAATGTAGTTTCCACTTCATTTGTGGTTTTTTTTAAAAAGTGCGTTTTTTTTAAACTGGCATGCAATTAGGATTATAGTGTGCTCTCACTGTTGGTGGAATCTCAGGGAGGAGCATACCCCAAACAACTAAAGCTGTAAACTTTATCTAGTGGCTACCTTCTGAAGGATTGTCAGAGTGCATTTCCAATTTGCATCGTGCTAAATATTTATTAGTGAGATTGACTGGAAATGCTTCAAAGGAGCTGTTCTGGTCTGCTAGATACATAGTGATTTTTAAAGAACTGTCTTAATAAGTGGTTACCTTAGGGAACCCTTCTGGTTCATGTGGTTAAATAATACATATTTTATAAACTTCAGCAGAAGACTTAATGCTGCATTTTCATTCTAATACCTAAGAAACAAAAATCCAACAGAACACATGAACACAACATTGGTGTGCTTCTGTCTGTGACAAGCCCTGCTAAAAGGAAAAGGATTCAAGGCTGCAGCTGCCATGACATCTCCATAGCAGAGTTCATCTGTCTGATCTCTGCAGGACTGTTTTTTCCCCCCACTTGCTGCTGCTTTGTCTTCCTCCCCCTTGCCCCATGCTCTGCTTAGCAGATAGAAGCCCAGATATGCCCAGATCCAGGCCATGTTTCTACAAGGCTGAAGTGGCTTAGAAATGTAGACAGGTCCTTGTCCCTGCAAGCCCTTCTGCAGCACCCCAGGCTGCTTTGGGGCAGACAGGGAAGCAGAGGTTCTGTCTAACTGCAGTCTTGTCTGCTTTGGGGAACAGAAGTGTTAAACAATGAGGAAGGGGGGCAATGATTGGGTACTGATGCATTCATTTTTATGATGTTACACCTAATGATGCTCGGGGACAGCAGAAGAAAATAAATGCCTTGAGGTAAAGGGCAAACAGATGTCACAGTGCTACTTGCATCCCAGCTAGAAGTTGACTCCTTCCCCTGTGCAGCAGTAGTTCCTTTAAAATTATAGGTAACATAGCATGCAGAAAACAGGGAGATGGCTAGGAGCAGGACTGAGTTCCTATACTGCTTGTCACACTTTCTCTTGTCCTGGTATTGGAAGATCAGTCTCTAAGAAGAGATGACTAAATGTTATTTAGCAATGTAACATGGAATACTTCTGCCATCCCAGCAGAGCTTTTAGCTTTCCTGAAGGCACACAGAAAAAACTAACATGCAGCAGTCATCCTGTGTCCCTGGCTCTGTCCAAGCAGAGAGTCACTGAGAGAAAGCAAGCAGAAACCCATATTTGTTTGAACAACATTTGGGGTCAAGCAGTGGCTGCACCTCTACTCCCACTCCCTTCCTGAGGTGGAGCAGGTGATAATCTTAGTTTTGCAGCTGTTGTGCCCCTCTTCTTCTCCAAGCAGAAGCAAATGTAGTGTGTGAGCGCCTGTATGTGTTTACATAGTTCCCCTCATTGCAGGGTGAAAGAAGTGTGAAGCAGCATCACAGAGAACATCCTTGCATGGAGCCAATCTGGCAAGCAGTGAGGTCTTGCCCACCTGCCTGTAGTTGTTTATCTGGCTTAGAGCCATATAGGAGACTAGCTAAATTGCAGCAATATGTGTGTCTTGGTGTTAAGAGTAAAGAAGCTAATCCAGCTGGCAGTCCTGCCCCAGTGAAACCAGTGGACAGTAAAAAAGTGACATTTACAGCTGTTGTTTCATTTGGTTTATTTTGTTTTCCTCCATTTGCAGAAATAACATCTACATGTCATTTACATGCACACTGCTTTTACATATTAAAAATGAAAAGAGACATTATGGTTACAAATGTGCTTTTGTTATGATAAATTTCAGTGCTCATAACACTTCCATTTCCTTATATTTCCTCAAGCTTGAAGATTTGTATACTGCATCCAGCTTGAAGACAAAACTCCCTATGATTTATTTTAATGTGCTATATTATTTTTGCTAAAACAGGGGCAAAGTCTTCCTGCCTGTAGACATGTGACTTCTTTTCTGTAGATAAAAACTCAATACCTTTCTTTCCCTTTTTGTTTCCCCTAACAGGTCCTGGGTTATAGGTGCAATAGCCCTACTCTGCCTATTAGGACTGACCTGGGCATTCGGACTCATGTATATTAATGAAAGCACAGTCATCATGGCGTATCTCTTCACCATATTCAATTCTCTGCAGGGAATGTTTATATTCATTTTCCATTGTGTCCTCCAGAAAAAGGTAAGACAGATGGTTCCCAGCAGCAAGAGAGGTGGTAATGGAGTGTTTTGTTGCCTAACAACTACAGCATAGCATCATCTATGTGCCCTGAATTCATCGCATGCAGATTTATCTCTGTGCAGCTAATAAGGGTGGCATTTGTAGTGGAAACCAACAAGATGCAGCAGAATGAGGTGATAACAAAGATATGTGGCAGTGGCATTTCAGCAGCCAGGGCACTGGTGACAAATGTGTCAGAGGCAGCGGAAAAGGCTTTACCTGCTGTCTGCCAGATTCTCCTTTCCTGTATGCCAGTGTGAGACAGGAGCAAATCCATGAGCATCTGGAAAGTACTCACATGACCGTGTGCTCACAGTGAAATGGAACTTTACATCCTCATTTGCAGTCCCTGCAGGAAATTACCCCTTTCTGTGGCAATATGTATGGGTTGTAATAGGGGCTGCTTCCCCTGCTTTTCTAAGAACTGAAGGACCTGTGCTCTGCAAAGGTTCATTAGCCTTTTTATTGCTTGGGCCTGATGTGGGCTGTTGAAATCTTCCTGAAAGCAAGCACAGCAAGTGCTTCTTGGTGGAACTTGAAGTATGCCCCAATTAACATTTGCAAGATAACAGTGGAGTAATTTAGGTAAACTGGGGGGCAAAAAAACAGAATAAAAATCTTTGTGTGTATATGTAGATCAAACTTACACCCTCTGACAATCAGTAATAAATATTTTAGGAACCTTTTTGTTCTCTACTGAAATTCAGTAGTACAGAGCTCTCCAATTCTGCATGGCTGCTGATAACTTTGTATGTACATCTTAGTTTCAAAGGGCAATTTCTTTGACCAGTATAAACATAGGGAAGTTTCTATGTGCATACATTGGTCCCAGTTTCTCAGAGTAACAAGTGTCTTTTAGTGAAATGGCTTAGTGAGTTAAGGCAGGACCATGTCAAGGTCTGTTCTCCATATGAGAGTCTCAGGCTTGCTCCTCTGTTACTCACATTTTCTTGTACAAGGAAGGGAGATCTGAACTATAAAAAAATCAGCGAAATTCATCATAATAAGTGAGCTCTGTGAATCATGCCTCTGGAAGGCTCTGCAAAACTGTGCAAAAGTGTCATTCTTGAAACTAAAGGAAGACTTTTGGGGATCAGAGTTTTGTCCACATCTTTGTATCGCAAATTTGTGTATCTGAAGAAATTTTAAAATTTATCTAACTGCAGCTGCCCTCTGATGATCTCAAACCTTTCAGCTGGAAGGTTTCCAGGGAAGATGATAGTAAGAATGTAGGAAGCATCACCATTGCTAATTAAACCAGCAGGTGCCTGTTTGATGAGGAGTTTGAATTTCTGCACCGTTTTCACTGGTCCATCCTCTCACCTCCAGTGCACCTCACAAAGAGTCAGTCCCTAACCCAGCATCCCAACACGGCACCGCAGCCTCCTTGGCTGGCAGGGTGCTTACTCAGCATGGAAAAATCATTCTCTTCTCTGTCTCAAGCCAATCTACACCCTTGAACCATCACTGGTGACTGTGGAATCACTCCTGATTTATAGCTGCATAGAGGGAAGGAGAATGCAGCTGGTACCTTGCTCTGAGGTAGATGCATATCTCTGACCTAAGAGCTGAGGGAAGAATTATTTAAGAGAAGAAAAAAAATCCTTTCCATTGTGGACTAGAAAATCAGCAAAATGCTGCAAAGAGGCAAGCAGTGGGTGGCTAATTAAAGCAATTGAATTATTTTCTCTCAGAGAAGGATTGATTGGGCACTCGAGCATATTGGGCACTTGTGGCATTGTGTTTGTCTCCAGTGCTTAAGGAAAAGTCTAATGAAAAACCTGTCGCTTACTATTTAAACATTTGTTTCACAGTGTTGTGAAATGCTCATAGATAGATTGGCAAAATTTTATGGAGAATCAAGGAATTTCAACTTGTGTTTTGGATATGCATGGGTTTGGGGTTTTTTTGTGTCAGTGGCCAACATGATCCTCTTTTGCCTTTTCTGTACAGTTCGCTCATTTTCAGTCCTGTCCCATCTGGTTTCTGGGTATTGCTGTCTGTCACACCTGAGGCTTAGGTCCTGCCCTGGCACAAGTCAGTATAGTTCCCCTGAAGCAAAGGAGATGGCACAGGTTTGACTGTGATGCCCATTTAAAACAACTGGCTTGCACAGGTCTGTGGAAAGACAGGCTTTGTCCACTCCTGAGTACTGGGAATATAATCTCAAGGCTGCTGGCTCTACAGCTTCCATGAATTTCAATTTGACTGCAAGAAACAATTATTTTTAAAAAATCAATAGCTTTTGTATGTTTCTCTTGGACCTTTTTTTCTTAGTCCTAAGCCAGAAGCAATAACTTTTAATACCTTGATGAGCCAATATGCTAGTTTATATCAAATCTATAAGGATATTAATTTCCAGTCATAAATAGTTTAGTTGTACTTTCTCCCATGTTCCTTTGATGTGTCTCAGAGGACACTATAGCTGGCTGGTGTCAACGAGCAGCTTTGCTGCATAGAAGCAGTCTCTTACACATTGTAAACCATGAGCTCATGCATTGAGAGCATTCTGCTGCAAGGTGTAATAGACTTCTTCCCCACGTACTGCAGCAGCAGTTTTCATGTGCCACTGAGGAGAAACTGGGGGCTCTGTTGGAAATCAGAAGGCAGTGTGTTGAAGGAGGAGCTGCCTGCTAACCACCATTGCACTTTCCTTGTCTAGGTACGCAAAGAATACGGAAAATGCCTGCGCACGCATTGCTGTAGTGGAAAAAGTACAGAGAGTACTATTGGCTCAGGAAAAACCTCGGGGTCAAGAACACCTGGAAGATATTCCACAGGCTCACAGGTAACGACACTTCTTGTTCGTGCCCTGGTGATTCGCACCACCACATCAATACCCTTAACAGCTTTTCTGGGAGGAATGCCCCTGTCCACACCACAGCAGCTGCCTTAGGGCTCTCCCCAGTGCATCAGCAGAGGTTTCCCTCCCTTCTGGACCTGAATTCAATACAGTGAGATGTGATGGCAATTAGTGCCTCTCCAAGAACTTTCTAAATAATTGTGTTGAGAATAAAAAGTCCAAACTCGCCTTCCACAGAGAGGTGGGTGATCTTCACATGAGGTGTCCTGCCTGCTCTCCACAGGAATCAGGAGCTAGGAGCATTTTGTGAGCTATGCTGCATTAATCACAAGATGGAGGTTGTCACCACTATTAACATGTAGAGGGATGAAGCTATACCGACCAAGTATTTTTCCTGCTTAAAAAAAAAACCAAAAAACCCCCTGTACAAATTTCTTGCAATAGCCTTCACAGTGAAAGGACTTGCTTTCTGGCATTCAGTGGTTTGATCAACTCCTTGCCTCACTCAATTTGCTTTAGTTTATAAACCTCCTAGGAGAATCCACTGGGGTCAGATTATCTTAGTAAATTATTGGATTTGTTATGCTTTGGTCACCTGAAAATTCAAGTTTGCATAGTTTGTGCATTTAGCAATTTTGAAGCTAACTTGTATGTACAGATGCAGATTTATAGACAAAAAGTTCATATAAAATGAAGAAGCTTACTTCTTAATCAATAGAAACCAAACACAAATTTATCCAGTATTAGTAATGGAAGTAATCATGCATGGTGGTTCCACTATGACACTACAAAAGACATACAGCAAGTTACAGTTTATAACTTCACAGAAAAACCTAATTTGCAATTTATGTCTTGGAACAAATTATTATTTATTTCCTACGGTTTACGAGATGTCATCCAAGAGCTCCACTTTAGTATTTTCCTAGGTCTGGAAGTTACACAGGGCAAATAAAAGCAATAGAATATAGAACCTCTCTCCAGTAGGCCATCAAATCCCACAGTAATCAATAATGCCCAAAGTTCACTATATCCAGCAACATTTAGTTGGCTGATTTGAAAACCTTTACATAACTTAGCTACTGCACAGGTGCCCTTCTCTTCAGGAAGCGTTGACTTTAGTGGGACCTACTTATCAGCCTCAGCACAAGAAAACATGTATTTATGGGTGAACTGAGTCTCCTGGCAGCAATTCCATCATGGCAGGCAAGGCTTGAGGTACAAAGGAAGATTCTTTTGCCTACAGAAGTTTGTCCTTGGAAGGATGGAATTGCCTGAGACCTAGTGTAGTCAGGAAGAGCCTCACACAGATGCTGGAGTGTGGATGGAACTCAGTGTGAGTTTTGAAAGTGTCTGACCCCTAACTTTAAATACAGCAGACCATGAGGGGGAAAACTCCTAAGATCCCTTTTTTGTCTGAGAAGCACATAGGAAACAGAATAATTAATCCACAGTGGAGCATGTCAGAGAAATGCAGTAGATCAAATGTCCAGGTGAGAAATAATTACTGTAAAAGTTCGTGGGCCTTGTATCACATTGTGCTTCCATTTATAGAGGGCTAATGCATGAGTATGATATAATTAGTAGACTAGGACTTTTCAGCTGGGACCACATAATTAAACCCTGGAGGATCTCTCATGGCTAAGATGTGACTATGGGAAGCACTGGATTTTTAGCACTTAGGAAAAACATGGTCTGTCACAGTGGGAACCAGGCTTACCAGTCTCCCACATGACCTAGCACCACTTTCACAAAGCCATGGGATACATCCATGGTACTCTGAGGTATGAGGTGAGGGAGAGTTTCTCCTGGACACCTGGGTTCTCCAGTCATCTTCACACAGGGATTGTGGTTGAACTGCTTGCAAGATGCTGATTTTTTTGATCTTTTGCAAGGTCTAGTTGGGGAGGAGCGAGACAGTGACGTAAAAGCCACAGAGGCAGATACTTCAAAGCATATTTGAGAAAGAAAACAGAGGGACAACATATTCAGGACACTTTCCCCAGTAGCAGAAGCTATACCACAGATGGCAGACTTTTCAGTAGGGGAACAGAAGTCATTCATTTGTGGGGAATTTTTTTCCTCCCAATATCCCCAAGATGGAAAATAGCTATAGAAAACTTCAGTTCATCCAGGGACACAGATCAAGTCTCTGTAACACTTCACTAAAGATAAGAAACAAGCTGTCTGAGATAGTACAGGATGCACGTGTCCTTCTGCGTATAAGTTATTTTTCCATTATTTGGTACTATATTGGTAAACCTGTAACTTGCAAGGGTCTGGGTTTCTCTCATGCATGATTTTTTTTAATTAAGATGTAAGCAATCTAATTATGCACTTCTCTTTTGACCTAGTCTTTTGTGTTGTGAAGTTAGGCAGGCAGGGTCTGGCATGTACATGGCAGATTATAGCAAAACAGCAACCACTTGCTTACAGCTGACTAGAAACAAGGTTCATCCTGAGTTAGAATATGCCAATAGCCATCTTTAGTGAGGCAGAAAGAAACCTCTCTGCAGCTGCTAAAATTTCATTTCCTGCTGTGGTTCAATCCCTCTTCAGAGCCGAATTCGTAGGATGTGGAATGACACAGTTCGAAAGCAGTCCGAGTCTTCCTTTATTACTGGAGATATAAACAGTTCAGCTTCACTCAACAGAGGTAATTATAAACTATTTTTCACATCTCTCACTCTTGTGATGGTTTTAAGGAGTTTGAAATGTGTTGTCCCTTTCCCCCCGACCTTTTCCTCCTCACCTCAAACATCAGTGGACCCTATTCTCCCACCTAAGAAATGTTACAGTGATAACTGAGGGGAGTTTTTGTGGTGACTGTTGCCTTTTTTTTCCTTTTATTTCTCTATTTCTACACATGCATTTTCAAGAATTGTCATTTCTGAAAGAAAGTTAGGAAAAGCAAAAATTAGAGAAATGAAATGAAGTTGAAATCTCCCCTTTCTCTCAGCAAACTGCTAGTGCCAGAAGCTGCAGAGGTGTCAGGCCTCATTGCTGCCAGTGAAAATGCACCATTACAGCACTGTACAGCCTATGTTAAGCATCACAGGAGTCCTGATTGTCCTAGATATGTGACAACACTGCCATCTTTACAGAAGCAAAAACGAGCAGCAGAACATAGACGTGCTTGGTACAAAAATGTCCATGTTTGTGTTAATATACCTAGTTTGAAGAACTGACTGATGTGAACTTTATAGACATCTGCGGAGGAAAGGCTATCAGAAATGTATATGCCAAACAAAATATGGTGTCTGGCATAGGAGAAAATCTGAATAGCTCTTTTAAACCAAGTTTTTTTCAGGGAATTTTAGGAAAGCAGTTGTAGGAGAATACCAGAGAAAGAGCCTCAGAGATTGCTTTCCTTCTCCTCCAGTACAATTACTTCATGGATTAACCTTGAGCAACCAGATGCTACACTCTGTTTTGTGGATCTGCCCAGCTGATGCTGGAGTTAAGAGGTGGTAGAATTTGGATTACTGGGCCCGGCTGTTCTCCCATAACAATGAAAATCAAATGTATTTCCAGTCCTGATGGTTGGTCTGCAAAGCTCAATTGAGAATTGACTTGGAACCTTGGTTCTTATTCAGTCCTTATTCACACAGAATTCCCACTGATTTTAGGGTGAGTTTTGCCTAAGGATAGGTTTGAAGGATTTTGATTGTACTGTTAGTAATATTGAGTACTGAGTGCTGGGGAACTACAGGTATCCAATTCTGTTCTCCGGATAGAATACGTATCACCCAAATCAGTGCAAAGGCAGTGTAGTTAACATGGAGATGTACTGTTCTTAAACTTACTGGTGTTTTTTGTGTCAGGGTATTTTCACTTTGCACTGAAGATTCATTAATAAAGTTGGCTATAGAATGCCGTTACTGAAAATGCCTGATTTATCCACATACAATGCCCTCACATCTCTCTCTGTCTTTGCATTAAGGACTGGAGAGCTGAAGCCAGGCTTCTGAGAGTCTGATGTAGGGGGCAATCAGTTGTCACACAAAGGTTACAGCAAGAGCAACAGTTTCCCTTGGCCAACCATTTCTCCATTTCAGTGGCAAACCAAAATGTCTTATGCATTGAATGTTTGCACCTTTAGTTAGCACAGAAGTTGACTTTCTCTCTGATGCAGCTGAGGCTACCAAGGGAAATGCTTTAGCAAACAGGATCTTCAGCAAAAAATAGGTGTCTCTCCTTTTTCAGTTATGCTTTTCTTTCTGTGCAAAGAAGGATGTGTGACCATGAATTGGGAAAACTGTGAAGAGGTTTCAAGTGGGCATTCTTCATCCCAGTATGGTGAGAGCCTGTTACTAGATGTGCCTGTTATTTAAAGGTCAGTTGGGAAATGAACTGCCAGTGGAGACATCTTCAAAGCAGATTTCATACAGATTTCAATAGATTTCATCTGTTTTCCTTGTGTAATATTGGATGAGATGAATCGCTTGAAGGTACTGATTCTCTGCTTCCTACAGAAACAACTATCTTGGAAGAGAAACCTTTTAGGTGGAACACTTAAGTGACTTAAATAAGTTATACTATTATATAGAGTCATTCTCGCTCTTTTTCATGAAGGCAAGTACAATATTTGTTGTTGTTGGGGTTTTGTTTCTTTTCTGATAGATAGAAGTATTAGCAAAATGGAGGTTAAAAGCAGTTTTTGGGAGATAGCATCTCCAAAGCAGCATGGAGCTCTGAGACCACCAAATACAGTGGTCTATTCCATATGAAACACCTGACACCAACAGTAATCCCAGCTGCGTGGGGCTCCAGATATTTCTCACTTTATTCTGTTTATTTCAGCTAAAAAGCAACATCGTGGCCTTAGGGCTTCACACAGATTAAACTCTGCAGAGAGAGGTACAGCCTGAACAGACCAGTGGGGCAATGCAGTTTTCACAGTTCTTGTCTTCTTCTTAATATTTAAATATATAGCCATCTTTAAAGGAGCTGTTTCATTAATGTCTTATTTACCAGCGTGCAATAAATGCTCAGAGGATTCAGGTGTGAGCTTTGAATTGTGTGATCAGTAGCTTTCCCTGCTTGAGGCTGATACAACAGGCTTGCATACCTGTTCAGAAGTCCCTCTCTAACCCTCCTAGCCTAGACACCTTTTGCATAAAAGTATCTGTATTATCTGTATTATCCCAAGTTCTTTGTGTGCTGGCATTTTTCCCAGATCCTTCAGACAGCAGCTCCTGCTCTAAAACAGGGGGAAAAAATCCATTCTCCCCAGAATCACCTATTCACACCTTTTCATGTTTCTGTCATGGAGAAGAAAGCAGTGAGACATCTTCCAACTTGGGGTACTTTCTCGTTTAAGCCTATTATTTCCCTGATATCATTCACTATATTTGCAGCCTCCTGCCACTTGACAACATCCCAGGCAAGACTGCTCTAGCTATCCATATGCCTGTATGATGACCAGCATCTCTCTATGACATCCCATCCCCTCCTCTTCCTTCACGAAGCTCCTGGGCATCAGTCTGGAATATGATGCTTATGTTAGTGCATCCCTCCTTTAGACATATAACTATGGGGGTTTTTCCTGATTTAGCAAATACCACACCGCTTATGGCTGGTTTCAGCTTCATATCCTCTTTTATCTAGTATTCCCACACCCCCAAAGTAATTGGCCAGAATGTTATTTTTCTTATTCTCAATTATCATACAAGGAATTTAAAGCATAAATCCAAATTTGCCTGATGTAAGGTGTTCTGTAATGAAAACTACACTCACTCTATCCTAAGGCATACAAGACTATTTCAGGTATTTCCTGAAAGTAACATCTAATTATGGATTAGTAAAACATTTGTCAAGCTTTGTTTCCTCTTGTAGCTCATTACAGCTTAGTAGTGGTATAGGTCTGGGGTTGCTATACCACTGAAATCAGGAAGAAGGTAACAAACTGGTCATGGATTTCCTCTTCCACTGTCAAATGAAGACCATCCCAGTCCACCCCATGGTCATGGTCTCAGTTTGAGGATCCAGGGGAATTTCTGCTCCTTGCACTCTCGCTCTGCAGCCTTGGCCAGTTTTTCACACCATGGGTCTGGCTGGATACTTCTGCTATCTATGTCATATCCAGCCTGTGCTCTACATTTCTTTTGCCAGTGCTGAAAACTTCAGAGGTCTAAGAGATGAACCAAGCTGATTACCTCATGAGTAGAAAAACGTTTCCCTTTGCCTGTAGGGTGTTTGGTGTGTGGTCTTAATACAGGCACTTGGATGCAATACTGAAAAATAGAACAAAAGAGGTGCATGTAGGATAGACTGTTTGCTGAAGTCTGTTGCTTTGAAGGCCAGAAAATGGAATGTATGAAGGAAAAGCAACAGACAGTTTTCCTTTATGTTAGGTTCATGAGGAGGAAGCAGAACAGATGACTGCTTGGTTGTAACAGCAGATTTTTTAGTTCTTGGGCTAAGGACAGTTTTTTAAGACAGCTAGAGATTAAAAGAAAATAATGGCATTACTGTTATTCCAATTCAGCTGTACCTGTGTTTTGTTGATCTAACCATGGACCTACCTGTGCAGTACCCACAGATGGAGCCAGCCAGGGAAATTGGGTTGTCTGCCAGCAAGGCACAGATGGCAAGAGGAGCAAATTGTGGGAGACTGCCGTAAGCATGAGCACTGCTGGGCTCTGATAGTGCTGCATGGGCCCGAGCTTTGGGTACACCCAATTGGCCACCTCAGGATCATGAGGGATGGGTTTGTTTGCACCTTCAGTGTGTCACTGCCGAAAAGCACTTAGATAGCTCAGCCAGCCTTGCACACAAGCAGTCACAGCACAAAACAGCAACATGACACCAACCTATTTTTATCCTTAGGTGAGAGGCAATACATTAATTACTATCTCTCTTTGGATATGAGACAATGGGGAGAGAAAAAAAGTCATCATGAACTATATGGTACTTTCTTACCCTTCAGGTTTTCAAGTTAGGGGTGGGATGTGCATGTGTTTGTGATTTAATTTTTTTCAAGAGGAAAAATGGAAGTTAGCTGTTAAAGAAAGGAATGCTCCTTGCTTTGGTGAGGCTTGAGAGCAGTAGAGACAAAGGACTTTGTCACTGGTACAAGGCACTGCTTTGTTATAGGAAAATGCACTGATGGAGTTATGTATATCAATTCAAGTTAGCAGATATCTTCACGGCAAACACTCTATCTTAATAGTTTTTCCCTCTTCAGAGGAATAAATGGGATAGAGGTAAGGTCACCAGATTTCGTAGAAAATAGAAACTACTCCAGTAGTCTGTTGTGTTGGGCCAAGTGCTGTACTCTAATGGTCTGAGTCTTAGCTTACAAACTAGACAACAAGTTCAATAGTATATTCCAATAGCAGTCTTACTGAACAAACAGGAGTATGTGTGCCCCTTGTCTTTTGGCTATATGCTTTATGGCCACTCACCCACAAAGCACTGTACACCATCCCCACCACGCTCATCCATGGAGGTCTCCTGGAGGGACTTCTTGGAGATTTACATTGCTCTTCCACTTGTCTGAAAGACAAGAAACATCAGGGAGCTGTAAGAACAGAGCTGTTTCATGAGGGAGAAGAGCTGAGAGCTGAGGGAGAGTCAAGCACAAGGCAGACTCTCACTGATGAAGCATGGTCCAGCAGGGACTTAAGCTAGGGGCCAGAGCTGACGGATCTG